AGAACTTCCAAGAGGAAATCACCAAATCAATACCATTTACAATAGCTTCCCACAAGATAAAATACTGAGGAATAAATCTAACCAGGGATGTAAAAGACCTGTGCAATGAAAACTATAAGACACTACCTGCAAGAAACCAAGAGACCTACATTAAGTGGAAAAACATACCTTGCTCATGGATAGGAAGACTCAACATGATGAAAACATCAATTCTACCCAAAGGAATCTACAGATACAATACAATCCCAATCCAAATTCCAACGGCATTTTTTAATGAGATGGAGAAACAAATCACCAACTTCATATGGAAAGGGAAAGCCCCAGATAAGTAAAGCATTACTCAAGAAGAAGAACAAAGTGGGAGGCCTCATACTACCTAATTTTAGAACCTATTATACCGCCACGGTAATCAAAACAGCCTGGTACTAGTACAACAACAGATACATGGACCAATGGAACAGAATTGAGAATCCAGACAAATTCATTCACCTATCAGCAGCTGACATTGGACAAAGGCCCAAACTCTGTTAATTGGGGAAAAGACAGTCTCTTTTAACAAATGGTGCTGGCATAACTGGATATCAATCTGCAAAAAACTGAAACAAGACCCATACCTCACACCATGCACAAAAACTAACTCAAAACAGATCAAAGATCTAAACATAAAATCTAAAACAATAAATCATGGAAGACAAAATAGGGACAACGCTAGGAGCCCTAATACATGGCATAAACAGAATACAAAACATTACTAACAATGCACAAACAACAGAAGAGAAACTAGATAACTGGGAGCGCCTGAAAAATAAACACTTATGCTCATCAAAAGACTTCACCAAAAGAGTAAAAAGACAACCTATAGACTGGGAAAAAAAATTTGGCTACAACAAATCTGATCAGCATCTAATCTTGAAAATCTATAATATACTGCAAAACCTCGATAACAAAAAGACAAACAACTCAATTAGAAAATGGGCAAAGGACATGAACAGGCACTTTGCCAAAGAAGACATTCAGGTGGGTAATAGACACGTGAGGAAATGCTCACGATCATTAGCCATTAGAGAAATGCAAATCACAACTACAATGAGATACCATTTCACCCCAACAAGGCTAGCATTAACCCAAAAAACACAAAATAATAAATGTTGGAAGGTTGTGGAGAGACTGGAACACTTAATACACTGTAGGTGGGAATGTAAAATGGTACAACTACTTTGGAAATCGATTTGGCGCTTCCTTAAAAAGCTAGAAATAGAAGTACCATATGATCCAGCAATTCAGCTCCTTGAAATATATCCTAGAGAAATAAGAGCCATCACACGAATAGATATATGCACACCCATGTTCACTGCAGCACTGTTCACAATAGCAAAAAGATGGAAACAACTTAGGTGCCCATCAATGGACGAATGGATAAACAAATTATGGTATATTCACACAATGGAATACCACACAACGATAAAGAACAATGATGAATCCGTGAAACATCTTATAACATGGAGGAATCTGGAAGCATTATGCTGAGTGAATTTAGCTAGTCGCAAAAAAGGCAAATATTATATAAGACCACTATTATAAGAACTGAAGAAAAGGTTTAAACACAGAAGAAAACATTCTTTGATGGTTATGAGGGTGGGGAAGGAGAGAGAGGGGAATTCATTAACTAGATAGTAGACAAAAATCTTCTTAGGTGAAGGAAAGGAAAACACACTACATACAGGGGAAGTCAGCACAACTGGACTAAACCAACGCTAAGAAGTTGCCTGAATACAACCAAACACTTCAAGGGACAGAGAAGCAGGGGTGGGGGGGGTCTGCGGACCACGGTTTCAGGGGACATCTAGGTCAATTGGCATAACAAAGTTTATCAAGAAAATGTTCTGCATCCTACTTTGGTGAGTGGCATCTGGGGGTCTTAAAAGCTGGCAGGTGGCCATCCAAGATGTATCAATTGGTCTCAACCCACCTGCAGCAAAGAAGAATGAAGAACGCCAAAGACACAAGGAAAATACTAGACCAAGAGACAAAAGGGCCACATAAACCAGAGACTCCATCAGCCTGAGACCAGAAGAACTAGATGGTGCCTGGCTACTACCAGTGACCGCCCTGACAGGGAACACAACGGAGAGTCCCTAACGGAGCAAGAGAAAAGTGGGGTGCAGAACTCAAATTCTAGTAAAAAGACTACACTTAATGGTCTGACCGAGACTGGAGGGACCCCGGAAGACATGGTCCCTGGGCTCTCTGTTAGCCCAGAACTGAAACTATTCCTGAAGCCACCTCTTTGGATATAGATTAGACTGGACCATAAGACAAAAAATGATACTTGTGAAGACAGTGCTTCTTAGCTCAAGTATATACACGAGACTAAATTGGCAGCTCTTTTCTGGAGGTGAGATGAGAAGGCAAAAAGGGACAGGAGCTGGCTGAATGAACACAGGAAATCTAGGGTGGAAAGGAGGGGTGTGTGCTGTCACATTACAGGGAGAGCAACTAGGGTCACGTAAAACAATGTGTGTATAAATTTCTATATGAGAAACTAACTTGAACTATAAACTTTCACTTAAAGCACAATTTAAAAAAAAATTTAGTTTACATGTGTTCACAAGGAGCCCCACTGGCGAGAAAAGAAAAAGACCAAAATCTAAGAAATTTCTGGAGTTTATGCGATATATATAGACTAACACTGATGGAAACACTGATCAATGCCGAACAGCCAAAGACTTAACGTAGACAAAGGGTATCCTAAATAATTTAATATTGCCAAAGGATAGGCTGTCCCAACCAAGCCACTGAAAATATTCAAGGAGACAACGGCAGACACGGGAAATTTACACAGGTTAAGAGCAGTAGAGAGAAGTGTATCAAGTAGCTGGCCTCAGCTTTTGCCTCCAGGCTTTATGAGATTCACAGTGCTGGCTAAGTAAAAGGGGAATTTGAAACAGTGGACACAAGGTCAAGTCCCTTAACTAACTTTAGACTACCACAACAAACACCAGGAGAATAAGAGAGCTCAACTTTGAAATTCCCTGACAGGCTCTATATTCCCAGTGGTACTTCTCTGGAAGTTTTTGTGTGCTGTCATGACTAGATTTCAACTCATAGCAACCCTACAGGACAGAGTAGGGCTGCTCCATAGGATTTCCTAGGCTGTAATCTTTATGGCAGCAGATTACCAGGTCTTTTCTCCCGTGAAGCTACTGGTGAGTTCAAACTGCTGACGTTTTGGTTAGCAACCAAGCGCTTAACCATTGCACCACTGGGGCTCCTTTTTCCTCTAGAGGTACTCTTAGAAATTTCTGAGCATATACCTTTGTAAGTAAAAAATGCTTGTGCATATAACTACAATATATGTACATTTATATATAAATTATTCACATATACTATTGTGTTTATACATCAAGTACATTACAAAGTCTATATTAAAAAAACACTTGGAAGAGGAGAGATAAAAATATAAACCAGCATATCAATATTTTTTTCTTGCATTCTAATAGATCATCTTGAGTACTCCCTGAGGTATGAATAGTCTCTACTTTAATCCCACAAGTAGAAGCTGGACAAGGAAGAGTCAAGGAAGAGTCACTAGGGAGCAAGCCAAATGACTTTAATCACTCAACGAGAGGCCTCCCCGTCCCCCACATACAGCAGCTGGCCTCAAGCTAACATGATCAGAAGTGGGGGTCTCTGCTACATGTGGACTCAGAGATATGTACTCTCATTTAAGGAGACCTCCTACTTCCAGGTTGGCTCCTGACCTGTTCCTGACCCTACTTACCTGACAGCTCGCCTCACACACTCACCAAACCCAAGATGAAGCCTGCTTTTAGATCCTTGCATTCAGGCTCAAGGGAAGTTGCTAGGAAACAGAACAATGACTAAAGAATTGTTGAGAGTCCAAACAAATAACAATATCCATTAAGCTAGACCTTCATTTACAATATGAAATATGTGTGTGTGTGTGTATATATAGAAATACATATACATAAACTATGCACCAAACACTTTTTTACATAAGATTTTTATATCTATGTTTTTTACATAAGATTCTCATTTAATCTTCCTAACACCTCTCTGAGGGAGTAATGTTATTATCATCCTAATTGTACAGATGAGAAAAATGAAGCAAAAAGAGAGTAAATAATTTGTCCAAGCTCAAACTACAGGTAGGACTCTACTGCAGGCAATATGGTTCCAGAGCCCACACTTTTAAACCACTATAACAAAAGATGTTTCATTTTCCCTGGTATCCAAACTATTCGATGAATATTTTATTTCTCAGTATCTAATACCAAAAGGGCCTAATTGCTGATTGATTCTGGCCACCACAAACATTTTGCTCACTATGAATAACACTTCAATTTGCCATGAAGTACAATAAACACTAACTCCATTCACATTTCTATTCTATGTTTAGAATATAGATAAGACTATATGTTTACAAACAGGAGACCTAAAAGAATCAACAAAAGTGGGTATTACTTCACAAGGTAGACTATATGCAGCTGCTTATAATTTAGCTTTAAAAATGTGCACACACACACCCCACCCCCCAAAAAAAATCTCTTCCGAAAAGACCTTATCAAAGCTTTAAAGTTCATTAATTACCTAATCAGGAGATTAAGTATACTATCTGTCAAGAAAAGAAACAACTTTCCAGGAATTTTTAAATTTCATTTCATCAGGTTTTGGATCACTATGAGAAAGAATGACATCTAACAAAACCAAGATATCTAATACGTCATTTATTGCTATAATGTCAAAAATTCTCTCTTTAAGATCAAGTTAGTCTGACCACAGACCTTTGCTTTCCTGCTCCTACGGAAGTTTATTCTCTTCTAAGCCTCATGCCACACAAGATGTATCACCTTTCTCTCTCCTTTGCAATCATTTCTTCTTACTCACTTGACCTCTTTGCACCAATCTCTTTCCTCTTTTTCTCAATGAAACTTTATTACTTACAACAGTGGTTCTCAACCCTGATTTAGCATTACCTGGGGAGCTTTAAAAAAAAAAAAAAAAAATTACTGATGGTTTAGAGTAGGCCCCAGACAAGTAAATCAGAATCTCTAAAGGTGGTTTCCAAACTGCCCTTTTTATTTAAACTCCACAGGTGATTCTAAAGTGTACTCAAGATTGAGAAAGACAAGATCAGGAGCCCACGTTCCTTAACATGACATATGTGAACCTCCTATTCCGACCTCTGCCTAGCACATCATAAGCCTATGACACCCAACTATTAGCTGTTACTTACAACCTACAAGTCCCTATGCCTTTGCTCTTATTGTCTCCTCTGTCTAGAATCTCCACCCATTCCACTACTTCCTTAACTAATTAATTAATGCCTCCACATGCTTTAAGGTTCTGCTCCAAGATCACCTCTCCAAGGATACTTTCCTCATAACCCTCCACTTCTACCTAGAGGAAATAAAATATCCCTCCTCTGTATTCCCATAAAGGAGCCCTGGTGGTGTAATGATTAAGCACTTGGCTGCTAACTGAAACGTTGGTAGTTCAAACCTACCAGCAGCTCCGTGCGAAAAAGATGTGGCAGTCTGTTTCCATAAAGATTAGACTTGGAAACCCTAGGGGGCAGTTCTACTCTGTCCTACAGGGTCTGTCCTATGAGTTGTAACTGACTCAATGGCAGTGGGTTTGGTTTTTCGTTGGGTATCCTCATAACCATCATCACAATCACACTATTACCTATTTATGTGCCTATCCCTCCTCCCTCTACTTTATGAGTTCACTGAAAAGAAGACCAACGCTTCATTTATCTCTGTAACTCCACAAAGATATGGCTGTCACATAACAGACACCAAATGTTTGCTGAATTAGCAAATCATAATCTTCAAGGTGCTAGATCCAGGTTTCTATTCTACCCAAGCATTACTCCCTACACACGCCTGCCTTTGAGCCTTTGTTTCTTCTGCTACCAGCAATGACCACGTCCTAACATTTCCAGTTATTAAAATTCTATTCATCCTTCAAAGTGCAAATCAAAAGGCTCCTACTACACAGGTAGAGTGATAGTTTCTGCTTCTAAATTCCTATGGCAGTTTAGTTATAATCTTCCCCTAGCACTGACGCAACCTGACTGGCATTGAAGTTATTTTTAATACTATCATCTTTACTAGTAAGTAGACTCAAGGACTATGTAGAATATATTTGTATCCCTTTCAGTTCCCATTACAATGACAGACATAGCAGGTGTTAAATAAATACCTGTTTAATAGTTATATTTTTAAAGTTCTATCCCACAAATTTAGGAATAACAAAGAATAAAGAATATCCTTACAGTTGTTCAAAATATCTAAATAGGCAGTGTAAAAAATTCCCAGTGCTACATTCTTGCATTATTAGTAAAGGTCTAGGAAAACACAGAAAGAACGCCATAGCATCCACACTCTGGTATAGTTCATGTGGTTAAATGATACCTGGTCAAAAAGTTGTTTGCCAGTTGTATTGGGCTGAATAGCAAATTCCAGCTCGGCATCCATTGTAGTGACTCTTACATTGATCTGTAATAAAAACCAAAGGGATTATCAGTAGGAAACAGAATACACCTATTAAGTATTAGGCATGAGAAAATACTTTAATCTGATTTATAAAATAAAGCGGTCTAATATACAAGTAGTAAAGAGCAACTCCAAAATTCTATCTAATATTTTTTTATTAAGATTGATAAAAATTTGATTTTAATCACAGGAAATCTTAAATCTATTTGAAAAAAACAGAGCTTATGAAGTTCTGTGTTTAAAAATATTTACTACCTGACACATACTAAATGCTAGACCATAGGCCTTCCATATTCTCATTTAGCCCTTGCAACTATAGTAGGAGATTTTATGTTCATTTCTATAGAAACTCAAAGAGTTGCCATTACCTGTCAAAGGACACATGGATATCAAACGGCAGAGCAAGTTTTTAAACTGAGCTCCAACTCCAAATTCTTTGAATTCCATTCACTATCTCATATTTTTTTCAACACAAACAACAGATATTACGTTATATTCACACTGCAATATATTACTCTCTTTATAAAAAACATTCAACTATAGGCCATTATTTGCTAAATCGTTTTAAATAATAATTTTCCCATATGAATATCTTTCTAGTTTGATATCTCATCAAGAACTTAACACATCTTAAAAAAATAATTTTTATTCCAGAGTAGCATCTTCACCTAGATTTCACCACGATGTGGTCCAGATCTGTTTAACTGTAACTCTGAACTAGACTTCTTGTTCCCCATATACATCTTACTCATTCTAATAACTACAACTTCTGTACATGGAATACTCTAATGTTAAAAAAAAAGGTGTTTATAATTTTCCCCATAAAAATCATGTAAATCAATTGTTAGACATTTCTTCCCTATATCATTATGGTTTTGCAGCTATTGTACACACAGTGGAATTTCACAGTCCCTAACCCACAACTCTGACATTCTAAAAGCATTTACAACTAAAGTTTATTAGAAAATTTCAAGCTAAAACCTGCTGAAATGATGTAAGGCTATCTGATGAATTAACTTATCCCACTTCATAATGAATATCTGCATATTAATCCATACAAATATTAATGCTTTCGAGGTGATACCCCAGACCATATAACGGCATATGCACATAATATGTTGTCCCTAGGTGGTGCAAAGAGAAGCCCTGGTGGCGAAGTGGTTAAAGTGCTCAGCTACTAACCAAAAGGTTGGTGGTTTGAACCAAGCAGCCACTCTGCAAGGGTGGGGTGGGGTGGCAGTCTGCTTCTATAAAAATTTACAGCTTTGAAAACCCGGAAGTTCTACCCTGCCCTTTAGGGTCGCTATGAGTCAGAATCGACTCGATGGCAGTGGGTTTGGTTTTGGTAGGTGGCGCAAATGGTTTGTGCTCAGCTGCTAACCCCAAGGTTGTTGGTTAGAATCCACCCATTGGTGCCACGAAAGAAGGGCCTGTTGATCTACTTCCATGAAGATCGCAGCCACTGAAAACCCTATGGAGTGCAGTTCTACTCTGCAACGTAAGAGTTCACCATGAGTTCCCATCGACTCAGTGGCAACAGGTTTGGTTTATATTTTATATTTACCTTTCTAAAATCCAAAAAATTCTTAATTTTGAAACTCATCTATCTATAAGGGTTTCAATTATAGGATTTCGAACCTGATAAAGTATTTTTCCTAAATGGTTTTCTGTTTTTGCTTTTGTATAGAAATGCAATTGGTTTTTATACTAATGCTACCACTAGCTCCTTTGCCAATTGTTACAATGGGCCCATTTATATAAACCAGAAGTAGGCAGACTTTTTCTGCAAATATTCAAATAGTAAATATTCTAGTCAAACAGAATCATAGCTGGGCACAAGCCTACCGAGCTACAGTGCATTTTTCAACCTCTCCTGCAATTTGCTGTGTCCATGAGACTAATTTCTCACCAACAGAACGTGAGCAAAGTTGATATAGGGTACTTCTGGGCCAAAGCATAAAAGAGTGAGTGTGCTTCCCAATGCTCTATCTCCTCTTCTTGTTGGCTGGAACTCAGACTATAATAATGCCCTAGGCAAGAGGTTCTCAAATTTCATGGTATGGGGATCCATTTGTCCTCTTAAAAATTACTAAGCACAGAAAAAGTTTTTGTTCATGTGGGTTGATATCTATTGATATTTACCACACTATGAATTAAAACGGAGAAAATTTAAAAATATTTACTAATTCACTTAAATATAATAAACCTATTTTATGTTAACATAAAAAGCATTATGAAAAATGCAAATATTACCCATAAATATAACGTTTAATGAAAAAGTGCTATAAGTCAGCTTTTAAAGCCTTTACATTTGATCCTAACAGTAATTATGTGAGGCAATCAAAACACCTGTAATCAAACCAACTTTATTTTACAATCAAAAAAGTAGGTGTACACTTAAGGGCAATGAGCTTATGTTAATGAGGAGAAACAATTCAGAAAAAAAGGTGAGAAGGTAATCAATGTAATCAATGTCACTGAACTGTACATGTAGAAACTGTAGAGTTGGTATATGTTTTGCTGTGCATATTCAACAACAACAAAATAAATAAAAAATGAAAATAATAATAAAACCCACATGCACACAAAAAGTTTACAAAAGTTGTGATATGACCAATTTAACCACACACACTGTTATGGATTGAATTGTGTCCCCCAAAAATAAGTGTTGTAAATCCTAACCCCTATATCTGTGGTTATAATCCCATTTGAGAATGGGTTGTCTTTGCTATGTTAATGAGATAGGATTAGTGTAGTGTATGTCTTAAGTCAACCTCTTTTGAAATATGAGAGATTTAACAAGCAAGTGAAAGAAGCAAAGATGGGAGAAGAGAGATGCAAAGCCACATGAAGATCTCCCAGTAGCACAAGTTCAAAGAGACAAGGACCTTCCCCCAAAGCCAACAGACAGAAAGCCTTCCAGAGCCAGGACCCTGGATTCAAACTTCTAGCCCCCTAAACTGTGAGAAAATAAATTTCTGTTTGTTAAAGCCACCCATTTGTGGTTATTTCTATTACAGCAGCACTAGATAACTAAGACATATACTAAGTATAAAGCTGGGCCAAAAGGATGTGTAAAATATAGAGACCAAATTAAATTTAAGTTTAGTGTTTTGGAAAAATGGACTTTTTCTTTTTTATTTGCGGTAGTGGGGTGGCTAACTACATCCTGACCTAAAAAGTATAAAGAGGAAAAACTAAACTGCATCACTGACTACAAATATCTTAAAATATTTTCTTCCAGAATTTGTAATACATTAGCAACAAACTTTATTGATATTCAATTGTATATACAGTTTTGACTCCTTACTCTAAGGAACACTAAATAAATGCCTGCCACTCAATAATAGTGGCAAATAGTTTTCCAAAGCAACTGTAAACTTTCATATTCCTACCACCAATATATCAGAGTTACAGTTGCTCCACATCCTTACTGACACTTGCTGTTATCAGTCTTTTTAATTTTGGCCCTTGTAGGGGACATAAAGTGGTACCTCACTGTAGTTTAAATCTGTATTTCCCCGATGACTAAAAACATTAAGGATCTTCTTGTGTGTTTATTGGCTATAAACATAACTTCTTTTGTGAAGTAACTGTTCAAAGCTTTTGCCCATTTTTTAAACTGAGTTGTTTTATGGAGTCGTAACAGAACTTTACATTGCAAGTATTTTCATTTTTTTATCGCTGCCTTCCCCACCCCCCACCCCCGCCCATTGCTGTGGAATCAATTCCGACTCATAGCGACCCTATAAGACAGAGTAGAAATGCCCCACTGCCCCATAAGATTTCCAAGGAGTGGCTGGTGGATTCAAACTGCTGACCTTTTGGTAAGCAGCCTAGCTCTTAACCACTGCTCCACCAGGGCTCTTTTCATAGAGCAGAAGGTCTTAATTTTGATGAAGTCTAATTTTTTCCTTAATGTTTCAAACTTTCTGTGAACTAAGAAATCATCATCTACCCCCAAGGATGCAAAAAATTTTTCTACTGCTTTTTTCTAGAAGGTTCACAATTTATGCTTTTGCATTTAGGTCTCTGATTCATTTAATTTTTGTGTAAGCTGTAAGACAAGGTCAATGTTCATGTTCAACGGGATAACCTGCTGTTCCAAAACTACTTGTTGAAAAGTTTAATTTCCCCATTGAACTTTGTGGCTCTCTTTTCATAAATCTAAAGAATGTATTTGTGTGTGTACGTGTGTGTTGTGTGTGTGTTGGTGTGTAGGTATATTTCTGTTCCATTAATCCTTTTATCTGTTCTTTACCCAATACCACACTGTCTTATTTATGTAACTTCATAGTAAGTATTAAAATCCAGGGGTGTTAAGTTCTCCAACTGTGTTCTTTTTAAATATTGCCTTAGCTATTCCATACATATTTTAATATTTCCATATACATGCTATACTCAGCTGGTCAATTTTTTCTGGTCAAAGAAGTCTACTGAGATTCAACTGACTGGGATGGCATTAAATCTACCAATAAATGTGGAGAGAACTGACATTTCAATATTAAATCTCCAGTCTATAAGCACTGTATATTTTCCCAAATATTTAGGTCTTTAATTTCTCATAGCAAGTTTTCAGGGTAGAGCGCTTGTTCAGCTTCTGCAAAAGTACTAATTATTTTGTTTTTGATGCTACAACAAATAGAATTTTTCTACTTCATTTTTTAAATTTTTGCTACCAGTATATAAAGAATACAATTAATTTTTTAATATAACCTCTGTCCAGTAACCTTGCTAAATTCAATTAGTTCTACTAACTTGTTTTGTAGATTTCTGAGGATTTTTGACATAATCATATCATCATCAAACAGAAAATTTTACTTCTTCCTTTCTGATTTTTATGCATTTTATCTCATTTTATTCTTCTCTCCCTCCAACAATGCATACTTTGTTACCAGCTGGGTCTTTAAATAATTCCAAAGTGATATCCATGCCAGAAAATGCCAATAACTACAGCCAAATCATTTTCTTAAAAGAGGTTACTGGCCAAAAGAAACATTATTGAAAAAATACCCCCGTTTTGTTAGATGAAAAAAAGAAAGGACATTTACCCTAAGACAACAGAAGTAAACCTTAATGAAGGACAACCATATAATTATAAAACTAAGTGATTAAACATATATTCTTAAATAAAAAATCTAAGATTACATATAATATCAGCATAGGTATCACTAGCATCAAAGATAGAATTATGAGAAAATTAATAATGCATTGCTCCTCCTGATCTCTCATTATTTTCGCCTGCTTAACAGTAACAGTTACCATTTACTAAGCACTGATTGTTCATCTAATCCTCACCATACCACCTTGATTAAGGAACTACTTCTATCCCCACGGTATAGATGAGAAAATTAAGAACTGGAGAGACTGAAGTAATTTAACAAAGGTCACTCGGATTAAGTGGCAGATCCAGGATAACAACTAAGACAGTCTGACCCCAGAACCCATGACTACAATGTTACCTACACATCTTTTTCATTGGCCCACCTAATACTGTGTTCTAGCCACCTTAATCTAAAAGAAAATTTAAGAGTTTTTATCCCAACAATTCTACCATAATACATATTTTTCTCTACCATAATATTCTGTCTTGTTCCAAAAAGGACTTTGTTGTTGCTGGGTGCCGTTGAGTTGATTCCAACTCACAGCAATCCTAAAGGACAGAGTAGAACTGCCCTATAGGGTTTCCTAGGCTGTAATCTTTATGGGAGCAGATCATCAGATCATCTCTCCCATGGAGCTGCTGGTGGGTTCGAACTGCTGACCTTTCAACTAGCAGCCTAGCACTTAACCATTGCACCACCAGGACTCCCTGAAAATAATGTAAAGCTACTAATATATTAAGTAAGTACTGTCAAAAGTAATAAAATACACTTACTGGTTTCGGCATTTTGCTTCTCTTTTTGTTAACTTCTTTAAAAATTCTGCACTTTTACGAATTCTGTTAAAGAAAAAGAAGGCATAATTGGTCTATTATCTTTTTACATAAGGCTTTTATTTTAACTATAATTTGTATAATTGTATAATTTGTATAGAATACGATTAAAACATTTTAAAATGAGCATTTAAAGTAATCCGGAGTGCTCTTACTTTATACTACTTTTCAAGGTACCACAACTTTCCTTAAAAAGATTAAAATCTATGATTTAAAATACCACACATCTCAAATAACATAGTGTAAAGCATACTGATTACCTACTAAATGTTTTAATATTATTACAAATAACATGTAGCAAGGACATATGATTGTTAAGGGCTCAAATGCTGTCTCCCTCTAATCGAGTCACGTTCATCCTTGTACCCAGCATGATACACACAAGGACAGTAAAAGTGAGGATAGGTGGATTCAGATTCTAAAGAGCTGACATTAGGAACACATTTTAATCTTTTTTCTGCACTGCCAAAGACAAAAGGCAATTTTCATTAATGAAACTTAAAAATACGTATATTATTTTTTCTTCTTGAAAGTTTGAAAATTCAAATAGAAAAAAATGAGTAGCTTATTCACCTAAAATCAATAAAACAGTCGTATTTCTGTATACTAGCGCCCTACATGCTACTCTCCTGCATGCTAGTGACCTTCACTGATACATTTAGAATTGCTCTTAAGACAAATGTTAAATTCTATCTTCCCCACAAAACAACAGAAGTAAACCTTAATCCAAGAGAATCATCGTACTGTCTTAGGCTAAATATTCTTAGTAAGAAATACCTACCAAAATTGTGGGGTTTTCCTTACAAACCAACCAAAAGACCTAAAATTCTTACTCATTATTAGCTGTCCAGAAGAAATGATTAACATTCCAATTTGAAAACAATAATGAGAAGTACTATATTAGACAGTTACTTAAGAATCAGTTATCTAGGTATTATCTCTGTCAATAAACTTTATTAATTACAGGAGAAGCAACTAAATTAATATACAATTAATTTTGTGTCTTAAAACTATATCATAAAAAAAATAAAGTCCTGATACATACTACAACATGGATGAACCTGGAAACATTATGCTAGATGAAATAAGTCAGTTACAAAAGGACAAATATTGTATGATTCCATTTATATGAAATATCTAGAATAGGCAAATAAACGTGCAGAGAGCAAAGTCTATTAGTGGTTTATCAGGGGCAGAAGGGAGGGGAATAAAGGGAGTCCTTACTCGGGGGCACAGAGCTTCTGTTAAGGTGACAGAAAAATCTGGGAACAGGTAGTGGTGATGGTTGCACAACATGGTGAAAGTGATTAATGTCACTTAACTGGATGTGTAAAAAACTGCTGAAATGGCTAATTTGTTATTGTACATATATATATTCAACACAAAAAAGTTTTTAAGTAGATTAAATATTTTACAACTCAACAAATTTACGAAAAATACTGAACTGTACATTTAAAATGGGTAAAATTTCACAGACTATAAATTATACCTCAATACCCACGAATCAGAATCAACCTGATGGCAAAAGGAAAGTTGTTTAAAATTAAAACACTAGATCAATTACTTTTAAAGATGTAATTAATAAAACTGAAAATTCTCCAAAGTGAAATAAAAACGGTGCATTGAAGTAAGGCTATTTCCCCTAAATTTTACTCAACCACATGCCAAAAAACCTCTCTATAGGGGGAATTTCCTCTTGAGATATTTATCAGACACTCTGTGCTATGAAATTCAGCTGGAGATATTGAACACCTCATTTCTTAACCCTTTCCTAGCCTATTCCCTGTCTCCCTACACTATCTACTTTCATGAACCTAAATGTACTTTAGTCCTATCTTCTAATTCTATACTCTACTTCTTTCCAACAACTATTGGGTCAGTTCAGATTCCTATCACCTCAGGTCTTGCTTAAAACAGCCTCCAGAATGACCTGCTTTACACACCATTTATAAGCTAACAAATCACAAATCTCTTATTTCCGGACTTGCTTGGCCAAACGTAACATGGTCAAAACATTTAAATGCCTTCTCCATCACCAAATCTGCTTTTTGGTAAGTCTTTGCAATTTACATATTTCTAGAACATAGTCCAATTTATGCAAATTATCCAATTTAATGGCACAAAGTTATTCATAGTATTCTTTCATGATTTTTTAAATCTCTACTACATCTGAAGTTATGAGCCACCCCCTTTTCATTCCTAATACAGTTCATTTCTGCCTTCAGTTTGTCTTGGTTAATCTTGCCAAAAGTTTGTCTAGTTTATTTGATCTATTTATTTTCTCTTTTATTAATTTCTGTCCTTATCCTTCTTATTTATTTTTCTTCTCCTTGCCTTGGCTTTGCTAAAGCTTTCTAATCCCTAGAACTGAAAGTTGACCTAAGTAATATCCAATCTTTCTTCTTTTCTAATACATGCATTGAAGTCATGAACTAAATGTGCCCAAATATAAGGCAACTCCAAATATAAAAAATCCTCCTATTTTGTCAGAGAAGATATTTTTAAATAATCTTTTATCATTTGAATATGTAAATAGTCATGTGTATAACGTTTATTTACTAAGCAAATCTAAATGTTAAAAACACACAGCCTCTAAAATATTGATTCAGAAATACCGCTCACTTTATCTCTCACTTCACAGAACACTTTTATTCAAACTCCTCATATATATTAGATATGAATGTCTAAATCAAAACACAGGCCACTTTTTGAATCACACCAGTTTTCCAGATTGCATAAGTACTTCTTGAATCAGCGTTATATTATCACTAACAGTTTTATCCCAAGCTACAACTAATAATCACTGATATAAAATATTAGGGCTTTTTCCCTCCATCTGTTCTATAGGAATATATTTTAATATCCATATTGTAACCACTGGATTTTTTAAGGTTTTTTTTAAATTAGGTGAGCCCTATGAGCTTTCCAAACTCACATGAACTACAGGCATTTTAAGTCAATGTCCCTTTCTTAAACAGTACTTTTGTAAGAGAGAGACGGAGAGAAATCTCCTTTTCTACGGAATATTTTTTGAGGAAAAAACCTTGCCTTATATTTGAAACTAAACTGTATTTCCAAGTATCACTTTAGTACAGTCCTATACAAGTTTTTTATGTAGTTCTTTCACTGTTGTTAAACTCTTATTTCAGTTTCTAATCACGATTTCTAATCATTAAGAATTTTTTAAAAGTTTTCTATAGAAATAGAGGCTTGGAGGGGAGCAGAGTGCTGTCTTTTCATTTATTTCTAAGTTTATTGTACAACAGTCAAAGAATGTGCTCCAGAGGATCACTACTCATTTAGACTTCCTTTATTTTTAGTACTTCATGAGTTTAGTTTATTTTTCTAAAGACTGTTTCAAGTTTAGACAAAAGAATGTATTTTGCACAATACAGGGGAAACCAGCACAACTTGTACAAGGAAAGGTCACGGAAGCTCCAAAGACACATCCAAACTCCCTGAGGGACTGAACTGCTGGGTGGAGGGCTATGGGGACCATGGTCTCGAGGAACATCTAGCTCAACTGGCATAACACAGTTTATAAAGGCAATGTTCTACATTCTACCTTGATGAGTAGCGTCTGGGGTCTTAAAGCCTGTGAGCAGCCATCTAAGATACTCCACTGGTCTCATCCCTTCGGGAGCAAGGGAGAATGAAGAGAACAGGATGCAAGGAAAAGATTAGTCCAAAGGACTAACAGACCACAGCTACCAAGGCCTCCACCAGACTGAGTCCAGTACAGCTAGATGGTGCCCGGCTACCACCACTGACTGCTCTGACCAGGATCACAACAGAGGGTTCCAGACAGAGCTGGAGAAGGATGTAGAACAAAATTCTAACTCACAAAAAAAAGACCAGATTTACTGACCTAAAGGTGACTGGAGAAACCCTGAGAGTATGGCCCCCAGACACCCTGTTAGCTCAGTGGTGAAGTCATTTCCAAGGTTCACAGTTCAGCCTGGGAGTGGACAGCCCCAGGGACAAGGGCCAGAAGGCAGAAGGAGACAAGGAAGCTGGTGATAGGGAACCCAAGGTTGAGTAAGGATAGTGTTGATGTGTTGTGAGGTTGATAACCAGTGTCATAGGACAACATGTGTACTAACTGTTAATTGAGAAACTATTTTGTTCTGTAAGCCTTCATCTTAAGTGAGAATAGCAGCAAAATTGGAAGAGCGTAGTCAATGTCACTGAACTGTGCATGTCGAAATTTTTCAAAGGTGTATTTTTGGTTACGTATATTTTAACCCCCAAAAAAAAGGTCAAGAAAGGAGAGGGTTGAGATGTTTTGGGGTTGTTAACCAATGTCATAAAACAATATGTGTACTACTGTTTCATGAGAAACTATTTGTTCTGTAAGCCTTCACCTGAAGTACAATTAAAAAAAAAAAAAGAAGGTATTTTGTACGTTTATTAAGTTAGATCAAGCAAGATCATGTTTTTAACATTTTGCTCATAGACGCTATCATTACTCATTTTAGTCTACTTAACCGATCTGGGAGAAGTGTATTAAATTTTCCCAATTATGAATGTGGATGTTATTTTCATCTTGTAAATTGTCAGCTTCTAATTTACGTGTTTTTAGGCTATGCTATTAGGTGAGTACAGGTTTAGAACTGTTGTATCGTCCCACTTAAAGTACCATTTTTCATTAGGTAATAATTGCATACAGAATTCTAAGCTGACCATTATTCTATCAGCATTTTGAAGACATATCAGCATTTTGAAGACATTTCATTTTCTTCTGGCATCTGTTATTGATGATGAGATATCTGCTATAACCCAACTCATTTCTTTGAGGCAATCTGCCTTTGCTCTCTGGTTTCCTTTAGGAGTTTTTATTTTCTTTCATGTACTTGAAATTTGCTTTTATTTATCTTGCTCAGGATTTGGTAAGCTTCCTTATTCTAAAGACTCGCACTTTCCTTAAATTCTGAAAAAAAATTCACCACTGCCTCTTTCCCATTCTCTTCTTATTCAGAAATTCTTATTAGATATATATTGGATAT